CCATTTCTGTACCTTCGCTTCTACTATTCTCGCACCTGAAATTCCTTCCCTGACAAAAATCCCTCTGATTCTGATGAAGGGCTTTCTACCCTTCAGGTCTGTTTCAAGCTCTGTCTGAGCTACTCGTCCCTTCTGATAATCCCTGTAACAGACATGTTCTCTTTCTGCTTCACATTTCTGGAAAGTTCCTTCCCTTAAGGCACTACATTGGTACCACTCACTGAGCAGTGATTTGGGCTTGGGTCTTCTCATTTGCCTTGGCCCTGTATCCACAGCACCCAGCAAAGCCCCTCAGCACTCCCATTTGCTCTCTTCCCAGGGTTCAGCAGCACAGGCATTGGTGCACCTGTTCGCCAGAAAGCATTTACAGAGCACCCAGGCCCAGGAGGAGGGCAGGATGGTGAATACGCTGAGCACTTAAAAAATGCCCCTCATGAAGCTTATGACCCAGTGGCTGTAACTGGGGTGTCAACCTAAGTGTGACGAAGCATCATGGTGCTGAGTCCAGGTGGGGCGTAGAGGGGCTCTCAGGAGGGCAGAATTAGCCCTGCACTAAGGGGCTAGGAAGGTTTCCTAGGGGGGTCAATGTCAGTCTTGACAGAGGAATACGTGGTGCTACATGGGCAGAGAGAGAGAGTGAGAAAGCATGAACAAGGGAAACAGAAGACTCAGCGGCACAGCAAGACATGCGGAGAAGGAGAAAAGGAAGGAGGGGAGAAAAAGAGGGAGCAAGGGAATAAGAACGAGCCTACTGGCTAGAGTGGGGACATCCAAGGAGGGCTTCACTTTGTTGTTAGGTCGTAGAGACCCCAGATATCATTTCTTGGCTGCAATGTGGGGCCTGGCAGAGAAGACAGAAAGGCTGACACACGCAGGAGGAAGTACGAGAACAGGATCTTGACCTGGGGGAAGAAGGTGGGGAGGGGATTCAGAGCTTAGACTTCCTCCTAGAGGCCACTGGGCAGGAAGTGAGGGTGGAGGTAGAGAGATAAGTCTGACAGGAAGCGGAGGGAACAAAGGAGTTACACCTGATAGCAGTCAAGGAGGGTGAGTTCTCAGAGGAGGAGGCGGGAGGAAGAATAAACTGGCCTAAGGAGAGTGATGAAGGTTAGAAAAGGCCTCTGAGGAGGGGGAAGAGACAGACCAGGGACTCCTGGGCAAGGTGGGGGCCACCAGAGGATGGAGACAGTGAGAGGATCTGGGCCCTGACGAATCCGTTGGAGAGGTCCCCTCCAACTGGGGACTGCTTTTTCACTAGCAGTCCCCAGCTACCAGTGAACCAGCAAAGGCCAGTGGAGACCCCCTAAAGATGGAGGATAAGCACAGAAACAGAGGGGAAGGGCAAGGGGGCCAGGGATAGATGGCCCTTAAAAAAGGAAAGTGATGATGTCTGGGCTGGGTAGGGAGGAACCATAGCCTTAATGGTAGAAAGTTTCAGGTCAGCAGGAAGATCCAAGAGCAGGCTTGGGAGGCATGAGAGTTTGTGCGAGAGAAACACTTGGCCGGAGGGAAGATATTAGACCTTAACATTCTAGAGGTATGCCCACCAAAATGTAACACATGCTGGGTCTCAATAAATTGAAGATTATGGAACCATCACCACAGTTTAACTCTGGAACATTTCCATTACTCCCCAAAGAAATCCCATACCCATGTAGTCACTCTCCATCCGTGCCGTGAGCCCTGGCAACTATTCATCCACTTTCTGTCTCCACACATTTGCCTTTTCTGAACATTTCACATAAATCGAATCGTACCAGATGTGGTCTTTTATGTCTGGCTTCTTTTACTTAGCGCAGTGTTTTTCAGATCTATGCTTGTTGCAGCATGTATCAGTAGTCCGTTCCTTTTTATTGCAGAATGTTATTCCATTGTATGGCATACATTATTTATCCATTCATTAGTTGATGGACATTTGAATTGTTTCCAGTTTTTGGTTACTAGGAATAATGCTGCTAAGAATATTCACAGTTAAGTCTTTGGGTGGACATGTTTTTATTTTTCTTGAATATATACTTAGGAGTGGAATTGCTGAGTTCAATGGTGATTCTATGTTTAATATTTCAACAGACTTTCAAATTGTGGTCCATCTTACATTCCCATTGTACCATTTTACATTCTCACAAACAATGTAGGAGTGTTCCCATTGCTCTACATCCTTGCCAACACTTGCTATTATCCACCTGTTATTATTATAGCCATTCCAGTGAGTGTGAAGTGGTACTTCACTGTGGTTTGAATTTATACTTCCCTAATGATTAATGATATTGGCTATTAATTGTCTTTTCATATACTTATCAATCATTGGCATAGCTTCTTTGGTGGAATGTTTATTCAAGTCTTTTGCCCATTTTTTTCTTTGGGTTGTGTGTCTTCCTATTACTGAGTTGTGAGAATTCTTTATATACTCCAGATAAAAGTCCTTTGTTAGATATATGATTTGAAAAGAATTTCTCCCAATCTGTGGCTTGGATTTTTATTTTCTTAATGACTTCTTTTAAAGAGAAAACATTTTTAATTTTAATGAAGCCTGATTCACTAGTTTTCCCCTTTGGAGGTCATGCTTTAGACATCAAATCTAAAAAGTCTTTGCCTAACCCAAGGTCATAAAGATTTTTCTCCTTCATCTAAAACTTTTATAGCGGAATTAAATTAGAAATTAATAAAAATAAAATATGCTAGAAACCCCCCCACAAATATATGAAAATTAAACATCTCATTTCTAAATAATCTATGGGTCAAAGAAGAGATAATCAGGGAAATCAGAAAATATTCGGACAGAATGATAATGAAAATATATTTCCATAAACATTTAAAAAGCAAAAAGTTATAAAGGGCATTTATTAAACACACTCCACGTGTATGTTTTGCCCTCTCCTCTCCCAGCTACTGACATATTTTTTTCTGTTTTTCAGAGTTAAACTTTTCAAAAAGAATGTTCATATTCAAGTATCCACACTTTTGTTCATGTGTTCACTTCCTTACCCTACACTCCCCCGGGGCACGCAGCCTGGCTTGCAGACGCTTCGCTCCACTGGCACCACACTTCCCAGAGGGTCCCAGGGACCTCCGTGCAGCCAAACCCAGCGGAAGTGCTCCTGCCTTCCTTTCACTTGTCCTCTAGGCCGCACAGACGCCCGCTTTCCTTCTGCTTCTTTGGTCTCTCTTCCTCACTCTCTGTCACGTTTGTGTCGCTCAAAGATCAGCCTTGGATCCTCTTCTCTCCTTCTGCATTCCCTCTTTTCAGAGGACCTCATTCACCCCACATCTTCAGCGAACGCCCATACGCCAATGAGCGTGTACGTGTACCAGCCCAGATCCCTCCTCTGCATTCCCGGCCCTCCTCCAGTACCTTCTCAGAGCTGTCCTCCAAGGCTTCCCACACTCGGTGTGTCCAAGTCCAAACTCATGATCTCACTGTCCCAGCCCAAGTCTTTTCTTCCAAAATTTCTTCTTTCGGTAAATGGTACCACCTGTCCAGCTGCAAGTCTGCAACCTAAGAGTCATCTGGGATACGACTCTTTTCTTTAAACCCCCACATCCAATCCATCATTACATCTTACTGATTTAACTGCAAACATCTCCCCAGTAGTTGACGTCCTCTCCATCTTCCCCGTCTGTCAAGGAGATTGTGATCCACTTTCCCTGCATTCACACATACCCTCACCCAGCCCGTTGTGCGGACCGGGGTGGGAGATGCTAGTCACATCACAGTCACGTCCTGTCACTCTCCTGCTTCAATGGCTCTCAACATAAAGACAAAACTGTGATGTGATGTCATTGGCCCATTCCAATCTGGTGTCTCCCCACTTTCTCTCCTCTTCTCTGAACCACACTCCCCTTTCTCTGTGTTTCACACATGTGGGCCCTTCCTCGTATTCCCTGTTTCCCCCTTGAAGCACGTGGCCTTTGCACACATTATCGGCTCTGCCCGGAACTCGTTCCCCTCCCCTTTTTGCCATGTTAATTCCTACTCATCCTTCATATCTCTCAAGCACCACTTCCCCCAAGTATGGCTTCTCTAATCTCCCTGCCGAGGTCAAATGCCCCAGTTATTATCAACCCCCACATCTCTTCTTAGTATCCATTGCAGCTACAGTTTTACCACTCACTTTGGGCTATTACCTGATTTGGTCGTGCTCCCCACCCAGGCCGTAAGTTCCCCGAGGGCAAGGACCATATCTGATTATATCTATAAGGTGGGGCAAAAGGAAGTTTACAGTTGTTTGTATGGAAAATAATATAATAATAATAATAATAATAATAAGTACTAATAAAAATGAGCTCTGTGTTTTGCATACTCACAACTGTAAACCTACTTGTGCCTCCCCCTGTACTGTTGTACTACACCCTTAGCGCCCAGCACAAAGTTTGACGTTTGGTAGCCACTGAAAAGAACTCTTTTGAATGAATAACTGAGCGATGGTAAGGTTATTGAAGATGAAAAGAGGACTTGAAGTAGAGAAAATGACAGTGAAGGAAGGCATTCTGATGTCTTCAAAGAATAAAGAAGAATGTCCAAAAAAGAGCTGAGGGTCCTACAGACACGGTGGATGCCCCCAGGGCACGGGGTCATATCAAGGTGGGGGTGTGATAGGAGTTTGCAGGCAGGTGTAGACAGGAGAAAAACAGGCTCTCCCAGAGAGTCACCCCTCTGCCTGGGCCAGATTGGCTTCAGAATAAAGGGGAAGCGCCCCTCATAATCGATATCCAAAGGGGCTATGAGTTTTCCTAGAGGAAGCAGAAAAGCCATCTTGCATTAAAGGAAGTTGTCAGTCCATGAAAACGGGGTAGACGATGCCACCTCTAAGCTGGCCCTTGAATCCCCGAAGATCTGCTGTGGCCCCACCCCGGAGGAAGGGGTCAGCTAACGCAGAAAATCCTCCACTCCCAAAACTGCCGCATGGCATCTCATTAGCAGCTCCTTTGGATTCTTTCTCAAACACTAAACACCAGACTTTTGAGGCTTGAATTCCAGCACTTTCTGTGGAGACACGTACCTTGGTCCATCCAGGAAACTGGATGAAGGTGTCCTGGGGCAGGTCCGGGATCCCACTGGGAATGGAGAAGTTTCCCACATAGAAGGCTGGGACTGTATAGTTCGATGAGCTGCGGGCACAGGCTTTCCTAGAGCAGTGTCTGTCATTGTCATTGCCATGCCAGCCCCCCAGGTGGCACACTGCGTTCTCGGTGTCCAGCGGGAACATCATCCAGTCCGTGAGGATGTTGGAGTTGAGGGTCAGGTTGGAAATCAGACCCTGCAACGGGGAAACGGGGCAATGAGCTGGGGTGGGGAGGCAAAGGCTTTGAGTGTCTTTGTGTTCCAGCCCTGATTCCTAGGAAAAGCAAACTGGGATACGAAACACCAGCATCAGACGAGACTCCAACAGTGTGTGAAGTGACACAGATTTTGGGAAGAATCACATTGCCCTGGAAAGAGGCACACTTCCCAAACCACAGCTTTCTCTCTCCCTTGCAGGCCAGGCTGCCCCCACCAAAGGCTCCGAGTTCTGCCTCTGCAGAAAGGGGGTTGAGTCACTAGAGCTTTTAATCCCAAATCCCCGATTTTGGTGTTTGATTCAGAGCCATTGCTAGAATGGTGGAAAAGATGGAACCTGAGGAATGCAAAAGGACATTCAGCTCCCTGGAGATGGAGGGAGGGGACAGACTCTGCCCCTGACGTAGAACCCAGACCAAGCAAGTCTTGACCTTAAATTCCTCAGCAGCACTCACAAGGGTGATCCCACCCGAGCCCACCAACCTGCTGTAAGGACTGAATGAGATAAAATACGTGAGGACACTTTGATACAGTAGACCCCCTCCTCCATGGGGCATTTGTTCCAAGACCCCCAGTGGGTGCTTGAAACTTCAAGCAGCACTGACACATACCGTGTTTGTCCCTATGCATAGGCATACACGTGCCTTGTCACTTAGAGAAAGCACTCTCTGGCTTCTCTTTGGCACATCCAAATTGCCAGCTTCACTACTCTTGTGCCTTGGGGCCACTATTAAGTAACATGAGGGTGACTTGAGCACATGCACTATGACACTGTGACTGTTGATCTGACAACTGAGACAGCACTGCGAGGAGATGCTGGACAAAGGGACGATTCACACTCCAGGTGGGATGGAACGGGATGGCATGAGATTCCACCACAGTGCACAGACCGCATGCAGTTTAAAACTGGAGTTGTGTCTGGAGTTTTCCACGGAATATTTTCGGGCCATGGTTGACTGTGGGTAACTGAAATTGTGGATTGTGGAACTGTGGGTAAGGGGGGTGCTGAATCCGTAAAGGCCCACCCAGAGCGGTGATGATGATGGTGAACCTCGGACGTGTATTCTGAAGTTGCTCTGTTTGTCCAGCAAGGGCCGGGGGCAGGTGTCCATGGCACTGGCCACCACATTGGAGCCTCGGTTCACGGCTCATCTAACTTCCCCTTCTTGGCCTTTTACATGGGAGAACACCTCCATTCCTAGTGAGAGCCCAGATTTGTCTTGGGACATCTCTCACTACGAAGCTTCAACTGCTCCTTGAGTAATTCAATAAAAGGTCACAGGCAGCTGTGTGCCAGGCTCCCTGCTGGGTACTGGGGACCCAGAGACTACATAAGCATCCCTCTCACTCCATGGTGAGAGCCAGGCAGGAAGGCCACTACTTACTGCCTGTAACAGGGACATTCCTACTCAGGGAGTGGCCCTGGCGTGGTCATTCCCTGAGGCTGTAATTGCTTCCCCTCTGAGCTGCCAGGCAGAGGGCCAGGAAATAGCTCAGACCCCCGCCCTGCGCTACACCAGCTGGTGCCGTCCTTCCCTCGGTGCAGCCTCCTGCTCTCCAGCGGATGGCGAGGTAGCCGCAGAGCTACCTCGATGTCTTTGCATCCCCCAAAGCACCATATGGAGCAACTCGCACAGAGTATGAGTTTAGCACATCTTTGTTGAGTAATGCTCTAAAAATACGTGTGAGAAAAACATATTTGGACTAGACACCTGGGCACAGAGTGACTGGCTGAGGCAAAGAACCAGTGCACCAAGGCTTCGTACAGTTAAGGGTTTGCACGATCCACAGATCGTACGTACCCAGAAAACAGAGCAGACCCGATGCCAGGCTGGCTTTGTTGGCAAGGGAGTGCCTTCTGAGAGCTCGGTGGGTTTTATAAGCAAAGGCAGAGCACAGTGGAGTGGTTTTCTTCTTCTGTTTCTTTCTACAGGATGATTAAACTCAAACCCAAGGGAAGGGTTCTGTCTGCAAAGCTCGACTTTCTCATCAGCTGCAGAGGAAATAAGGTCTTCAAAGTTGCAAAACAAATCAGGGTAGGTTCACTCATCAAATTAGACTACGTCTGTGTGCTTTTAAGAATTGCTTCTATGATAACAGGGCTGCGGGGGGAAAAATGTATGTGTGAGCTTTTTACAGTAGATTTACAAAAACTCCCTCGGATGGCTTAGGCACAGTCCTGCCAACCTTTGAACCTCACTCCTAACAGCGAGGCTGCTCCTACCTTATAATCATTGATAAAATGGCCATAGTTCACACGGCCCATATTTTCCACCAGGAGGTCCAGCGTGGCTCCAGCTTTCCCCGTTATGTTCAGAGAGATCACATTGCTTCGGTCAAGGATTCCCTGGGGGACCTGTGGGTTCAACGTCAGAGCAGAATTACCTAAGGTGAGCAGATCAGAAGACAGGCAGTTCGCTCAGTTAAACTGAGCACTCGTTTTCCCTCCTTGAAGTGTCACCAGACTTGGGAGGAAATGTTTTGATGGCCCCTTTGTCCCAGTCATCGGCTTTTTTAAACAGGAAAGTCACCAGACACAGCTCTGAGCAAGGAAAGGTCTAGACTGGTTTCCTCTGCTCGGGAAAGTTTTGCTTCATGTTTTAAAAAAGTTTTGCCTCATGTTAAAAAAAAGTTTTACTTTTCAAAATTGATTTTAGAGAGAGAGAGAGGAAGGAAGAGAGAGAGAGAGAAACATTGATTTGTTATTCCATTTATTTATGCATTCATTGGTTGCTTCTTGTGTGGGCCCTGACCAGGGATGGGACTCGCAACCTTGGTGTATCAGGACAACACTCTCACCCACTGAGCTACCTGACCAGGGCTGCTTTGTGTTCATTTTTAATAGGGAGGGAATGGAAGCAAAACAATTCCAGGGGAGGATTCCTATTACAGGAACCTCTTCGTGTTCTCGTAGCATGGAAGGCAGCCATTAAGAAAAAAAAAAGCTTCTAAACAAAATGGCGAGTGGAGATAGAAATCAAATAAATGAGATAAAAATCAGAGAGGCGGAATGTTCTCACCTCAAAATACCTGATACAATGCATTAACCATGAAAATTATATAACAGAATGAGCAAAAACAACAGGCATTTTAGCAGCGACATATCCCTAATGTTTTCAAAGATGGGATAAAAAAAATGTTACTGACTATAATTCACTAATACAATTCCTAAATTGAAATCCAAGAAACAATTGCCATCAGTATACATATAATGTCTTAGGAACTTGCTCCCACAGAAAATAAAGCTGTTGATGACAATATAATGGGAATGTTTTAATTTAAAATTTTCCGAACAACTTTTCTTAGTTAGGAAAACCTCTTCATGTGTTCTTGCCCATGAATATTGCAATGAGAGGAATGTATCTTTGTTCTGAGGCAAAGTGTGGATTTTCGCTCTATCATGAACAACCCTTCAGAATATAACTTTCTTTAAGTGAATCGCCACACCGGCATGTACAGAATGGACCCTTTCCTCAAGGAGCAAGGAAGACAAGGGTGACATGTGGTGGTTAGTCACCGAGGATGGCCTTGGGCTGGGGAGACCAGAAAGGTTTCCCAGAAGGTAGGGCCAGGAGCACGGCCCTCCAGGGGAAGATGCGGGAGGGAGGGATTCGGGCAGATGGAACATGGGTGAGGCCACGTCAGCCGTGGTGGGGTCAGCTACGGGAAGAGGCAGAGCCTGAGGCTGAAGGGTGGGCTAAGGTCTCGAATGTCTATTCGGAAGGACTGGGGCGGCCAAGTGCAGACCACACCCCCGCTGCTGGCGCAGACAAACAGGCCCCGAGACAGTCCTTACCCCATCCACGGAGACGTAGGCCCGGTCGTGGACGCCGCCGAAGGGTGAGAAGAGGGGGGTTGGGCTGCTGCAGTCTTCGGGAAGTGTGGTTCGGTACAGCACAAACCCGAAATACTGGCCAGAAAAGGATGGAAGAAAAATTCGTCATTTTTGCTATTCACCTTAAGAGAACTCATTTGCCCCTGATCTATGTGAAAGTGATATTTCTTTCTTTCTTTCTTTCTTTTTTTTTTTTTAAGAGAGAGAGAGAGAAACATCAATGTGCGGTTGCTGGGGGCCATAGTATGCAACCCAGGCATGTGCCCTGACTGGGAATCGAACCTGCGATGCTTTGGTTCACAGCCCATGCTCAATCCACTGAGCTACGCCAGCCAGGGCTGAAAGTGATATTTCTAAAACTGTAAGGAATGGAAGGCTTCCCCCAGGTGCTGGGGAAAATTCAATCAGCAAGAAGGGAGCTGGCCTCAGTTTTTAGATCGTGGAATAACTTCCATGGTAGCAAACTTCAAGGAACCGTGAAGGGACTTCTATCAAACATCCTTTTCCAGCCTGAGCCAGTGGGACTCTGGAATGTGTTCAGTGATTTGCCCTGAATCACTAAGGGGGATCCTATCTCATATATTTCGTTACCTCGAAAAACAAAACAAAACACAGAAACAAACAAAAGAGACAAACAACAGCAAAGCCGAGAGTGTTCGGTGGAACATTTTCCAGGTCCTTGGGCAATATCTGCTCTCACATGCAAAACAAGAGTCAATCAGAAACTGTTTCGAGTGCAGGAGTAGGGGAAATAGAGACAGCGAGAAATGGGGTGTAACCTGCTGCGAAGTCAGAAAATACTTTCAGGTGCTGGTATCCCTGCTCCGAAAGGGAGGCCCCAGACAGTCGGCCTCCGCACCCACAGCCTCAGGGAGTGACCTTTCTGCTCTGGACAGGCGCCAGGGTGAGCTGGGCCACATCCTGAGTCAGCGAAAAGGATCCAAATTGCAATCCTTTAGGGACCAGAGAGAAAGTTCCTAACATCCAGGGCCCAGAAAGCAGGGCAGTGCACCTCAGGTGAGTGGAAAGGGGGTTTGGGGGAGCTGAAAGAAATGCCAACCCATGTTCCTGTGTTGCAGGAAAGGACTGGAGCCGCCGCCGCTGAACATTCAGGCCCAGGACGCCTCCCTCCCTGACACCCACGTCTCCGTTCATCTCTTGCTTTAAAAAGGAACCAGAATGGTAAGTCTTCACTCAGAGGCTGAGGAGAACTTGGTGAAAGGCCCCCAGAGGGGAGTGGAAGCTGTGATGCTCCCTGCAAAGGTGTAGCTCAGGCCTCCGAGGTTGGGGGGCTGGGGGACGTACCAGGGCTGCACCCCACTTCCTGCAGCTGTGCCCTCCATGGGTTTCGTTGAAAATAAACATTCTGTGGGCTTGCTCTAGACCCCAGACAGCCGGGGCTCGGGGAGCCCCACCCAATCCAGAGCACTTGCATAGTCTAAGATCACAAAGCAGAGGGAGCCTGAGAAACAACGAAGACTCAAAGTGTCTGTATGTGAACTTGGAATTCATTTGCTTTCCGGGCTCCAGCTGCTCTAGTGTCCGTGTCCTCTCTCACGGGCTGCACGGCTGCACCAGGTGGGAAGGCATGTTCTATTGTACAAATGAAGACACGCACACATGAAGCAGGTGCGTGCTCAAATTAGACAGGAAACTTGGCCCAGTATTAATGAAAAAGGTGGGGTGAGGGAGCTTAATTATTCATCTCATTTATGGCACACCGGATTTGTTGGAATAAAACATTCTTGTAAAATTGTACGAGTGTAAAAATAGTCCCTTGTAAAACATTCTCATAAAACTTGTAAAATGCTACAGGTGGAAGAATAGTAACTGGAGACAGAACGCACTAAACAAAGATTAGGTGTGCTAGTATTCTGTCACCTCACTGTTCAGATACTCTCCAGGAGGCAATCTCTGCAGAAAGTGGGAGCCCATTTAAAAACACGGGGCTGAGATCCCCACTGAGTATTCAAACTTAACATGGTAACGAAGGGACAAGCTGACCTCGTTCATGGGCACCCCGAGGACACATCACCCTTTGTCATGTTTGTGCCAAAAAATGTTGTTGTCGCTGAATCTGATCAGTGAGAGGCAGTCTACCAAATACCTGGCCTGACCTCTTGAGAAATGTTCAGAGAGAGAGAGAAAGAGAGAAAGAGAGAGAGAGAGAGAGAAAGAGAGAGACACTTAGGAACAGTTTCAGATGAAAGGAGACTAAAGAGACATTATAACTAAATGGAATGCAGGATCCTAGCCTGGAAACTGGATGGAAAGAGTTAAGCTATAAAAGGACATCATCGGAATAACCGGGATACCTGACTATGGAATGTATCTTTGGTCATTGGATTGCGTTTTAATGTCAACTTTCTGAGGTGTGATCGTTATACTGTGGTCATGTAGGATGAAGTCCTTCTTCTCGAGGGACCCAGGCTGTCACAGCTAGGAAGTGCCGTGATGGTGACAGCCCACTCTAAGGGTAGAGAAAACAAGCCAGCAGCGGATGACAGACGCACACAGGAAGGTGAAGCCAGTGTAGTGACGGTCACACTGGGAGAACCCGGGGGGAAGCTATAGGCGTGCTGGTTGTCCTGCTCCTGTGGCTCCTTTAGATGTGAAGTTTCCCAACATAGAAAGTGGGGAAAGCTCTTAAGTGAAAGACAGGGCGGTGCCTGGGGATTCATCTCACACCCACACACCACCCAATTCTGCTTGTTTCTGTTCTCTTCCAAAGCAGGAAAAAGAACCTCTACGGACCTAATGTAGTAAAAACACAGCCCTTAACCTTTGAGCTAACTACGGACAAGTAATTAAATTGTCATTTTTTGAGTACAAAAATAGTGGTTTTCCACCGGTACCTAGTAACAAAGATTAGTTAGATCAGAAATGCACTTGATTTATAGCTAGTACACAATTATGTTGAAAACAGGTTGAGCTACAACTTCTGTGAGTGAGAATAAGAAGAAATGGGGGAAATACAGAAAAAAAAATAAACCTGGCCTAATGTGCAATATTTAAAGCTAAAGAGAGCCAGAAAGTCCACTGTTACATTACTGGGGGGGGGGGGGGGGGGTCTGATTTGTCTGCTTACTATTTTGGTCCCTGTGTGAAGAAAGGACATTGCAAGGCTGGACAGAAAACACATTTTTGCAAGTAGAAAAAAGTGTTACCTTTGAAGGCCTACCTGTTTCACCTGGATAAAAGTCAGGGGATAAACGCTTTTTATAGGCCCCTTGGGACACAGAATGTTCAGCGATTCCTCCACTGTCTTTAACTGAAAAGAAACAAAAGCAGCTTTCACTCATTCCCTGTGCACCCCTCCCTGGTCATCAGAGTCGAGCATGCCCCTTGCAAATGATCAACGTTATTAGTGGATTTTGCCAACCCCCTAAATAAATCTAAATGGTTCAAATTCCACTCAGGGCTACTCCCCAGTCACCTTGAATCATCTCTAGCAGTTCCCTGAAGGCTATTAAAATAAATGCAACCCAAGGCTCGGAGGCAGCCTCCTTTGAAGCCTTCCCCAACACCCCACGGAGAAGTACCGGTGACTGGGCTCTCTGCATCTGTCTGCAGCATAGCTTCCATGCCCGCATCATTTACCAGCTGCGTCCCTTTGCCAGGCTGTCAGCTCCAACAGGGCTGGGTTTGTACTGTGCGCAGCCCCCAGAGCCCAATACATAGTAGCCACTCAACACGCGCGCGCACACACACACACACACACTGTCCAAACGATTGTGCATCCTGGCAACTCAGGATGCTCACTCTGTGCAACGACAACAACGATAAGAGCTGCCCAACACTGGGTGCTTAGCAAACTCCAAGGGAGACAGAGCTTTACACACAAACCTCCCTGAATCCTTGCAAGTACCCAGTGGGGAAGGCATGATGGTCCCCAAGTTAGGGACTCGGAAAAGCTCGCCTGAGCGACGGCAGAGCCAGGATTTGCAGGCAGGTTTGGCTCTAAACCCAGGACTCTCCACGGCAGTGATACTAGCGAGGAATGGCATCAGCACTCTCCGTGGTTACCGTGCTGATGTGCGGCATCGAGATAAAAAATCTTAAGTGCAATTTTATCAGTTCAGCTGTTCACGTGGATGCCTTCCCACGTGGACACACACAACTCATGGTAAAGGTTCTATCCTGCGTAACTAAGTTCCATACACATTTAATTCAGTTATAGGCTGATTTGTTCTATGAAATTACAAGGACTTAGTTCACAACAAAAAGCCTTTTCTGCTCACACAATTTTCTTTCGCAGTAAACAGAATGTGCTTTTGATACCAAGCTAGATTTGTATTTAGCAATGTGGTATTAAACGTTTGCAGTTATTTCTGTTGTAGCAAAATTAAACCCTCACTGCTCTAAACCCGACAGACCCACTTTTCCTTAAGTAGCAGAAGCAGTGAAGAAGTCAGAGATGCTCCATGGACGAGTGTGATTCAAGTCTGATTAATCTAAAGAAAGATGCCTATCAGGCAGAGCAGCCAACCACGTTCTCTGTAGAATGTAACACACGAATCTGACACTAGGTGGAAAAAGTTACAAGGACTCAACCAACCATAATATCAAAGGGCTTCATGAATGGAAAAAAATCATACGATCATGTTTGGCATTTTGCTTAAAGATAAAAACTTATGATGCTATTTTAGAATATCAAGATTCGTAAGAAATATGCAACGGCTCATGTCTTTTTTTTTCTTGTGAGTTAACATATGTAGGAGTTAGGGATTATAAAAGGGGAAAACCTGAAGACAGATGATCAAAACAAAGTGACTTTGGCTTACGTCACTCTTGACTATAAAATGTAACCTCTCTTCTAGAATAAAATGCCTTTAGCTTTTATTTATGATTGATTTCTACCTTTCCCCCATGATGTCTCATTTACCATGTACATTACAGACCACAAAAATTAGCACACGATTTTGAGATGGGGGTGTATAATTTAAGGCAAAGACCTATTAAAATGCCTGTAGCTTTTGAGAACCCCCTAAAATAAAGGCGGATTAGAAAAAAGAACCTTATCAGCCATAACAACAAGGTGGCATGTCATTCCCACAAAGGTTTCTGGGATTGCTTTGGATAACTGATAACTGACCCCAAATGACCTGAATGATCTGGAACACCTCCCGAATCCCCACGCCCCATTTGCTCACCTTGTCAACACACAGACCCATGCTCTCACCTCCTGTGCCCCCGTGTTCCCAGAAACATCACCTTCCCCATCGGTCTTACGGAAAACAAATTCACAGAAAAATAACGAGCCGATGCCCCAGCGAAACACTTTCACTCCCAACAGCTAAATTCCATTTCCTCACTCTCAATGTTTCTGTCATTTTTTTTTCCTTACCTTTTTCAGAGCAACTTTTCCATATGCAAACTTGGGTGTAGACGGAGGGATGGGACCTTCTGGTACTTTTTCAAACTACAATCCGGAGTGGAAAAGGGCAGAAAAGAAGAACGGCTGTTAAACCCTTGGAAACACATCTATACAATTGGTCTTTCAAAAGGAGGGTCAGCGACAGAAACAACGGCGCCGGTGATGCTTTGGAAAGGCAGAGGACCAAAAGGCTTCCTTCCAAGACGGGATCTGGTTCAGTTTTTACTTCTAAGTGTGTGTCTGTGGATGTGTGTGTCTTAAGCTCCAGGACTCATTCACGTAATTACAGAACAAAGACTTCATAATGGAGAGCAAAGACAAGTAGTGAGAATGAGGCTGGCGTCAGGAAGACTAGAGTGGGGGGAAAGAAAAGGAAAAAGGTTCAGAATCTTCGGGGAGGTAGCCTAGGGAAGGAAAAATATTATTTGTAGATTAAATCTTATTGGTAGATTAAAGTTTTGTATCAATGTTGAAATTGTTATGGTCATGTAAGAGCACATTCCTACCTATTCTTATGAGATGTATACTGAGGCATTTAGGGGTAAAGGGTCATGAGATACGCAACCCTTCAATCAATGGTTTAGAAAACACAAGGGGGGAGGCGAGGGGTAAATAACGAAGCAAATAGAGTGAAATGTTGACATGCGTGAATTTGGGTAAGGAATATACAAGTGTTCTTTGTACAATTTTTATTCTTGAAACTTTTATGTAAGTTGGAATTAAAAAAGTTAAAAAATAAAATAAAAATAAATCCTACTAAATGTGTACACACACACACACACACACACACACACACACACACATACATATTAGCATCAGAAGATATGAGTGGAAGTCCTAGGTCTTAGAACAGTCTATGCCCATCTGGCATCTCCAAGTAGATTGCATTATGATCTTTCAGGATCCCTTCCTTTCCTTTCCTTTCCTTTCCTTTCCTTTCCTTCCTTCCTTCCTTCCTTCCTTCCTTCCTTCCTTCCTTCCTTCCTCCCTCCCTCCCTCCCTCCCTCCCTCCCTCCCTCTCTTCTTTCCTTCTTTCCTCCCTCCCTCCCTTCCTCCCTTCTCTCTCCCCCCTCCCTCCATCTTTTTTCCTTTCTAAAAGTAATTAATAAAAGAAGAGGATAAAAGACTGGTAAAAGGAAAAACAATACTCTTCTGACTCACTCTTTTCTTAGCTATATTCTTCAGAGGAAACCATTTAAAAATCATTCAGTGGAACCTATTTTTGCTTCTTTGGGTCTCTAAATAATGCACATATCTGCTATGACTTTTTTGATTCATTTAAAACATTATCATTGATTTCTTCACTACCTTCAGCTGACTTTCTTCAACCAACATTCAGCCAGTTTTGTCGTCTCATTTACTACTCACAAGAGCCCTCACTAACAGCTCTTATATTTCCTGAGACCGAGAAGTTTGCTCAAGGTTGTAAAGAAAGCAAGGGCGGTGGGAGTTGGGCCTTTGGACCCCATGTCTGCTGCTGCTCCTACCGCTCTGTCTTACCACCTTAATGGTCGTGACAACAACAGAAGGTGTTTCCTATTAATTCCCAAACATAATTCTAAAACCAAAAACATGCCGTGAAACCTGCTCTTTTCTGGTTTTTCTCATAGACCTTCCCCTTAAACACATGTATATTCTAAGGGTAAGAGGCAATTTTGTAATTTGCTGTTGCCACTTATCAAAAGTACTTTTGGGCCCTGGCTGGTGTAGCTCAGTGGACTGAGCACGGGCTGTGAACCAAAGTATCGCAGGTTCGATTCCCAGTCAGGGCACATGCCTGGGTTGCGGGCCAGGTCCCCAGTGGGGACCACATGAGAGGCAACCGCACATTGATGTTTCTCTCTCTCTCTTTCTCCCTCCCTTCCCCTCTCTAGAAATAAATAAATAAAATATTTTTTTAAAAAGTACTTTTGGCATGACCAAATTATTGACAATAAGTTTGTTTATTGCATATTATATTCAAATGGATATGACTGAATTTATATAACTATTTTTTCAATATTAGGAATTGAATTATTTCCAGTTTTTAATATAAAAATATTGTCGCATGAACAACTTTATAGTTACAGCATTATCCTGGCTTAAATTTTACTTTGAATGAAGCCCCAAGTAAAGGGTTCCTGTGTCAAATGATATGAGCATTTTATATGATTCTTAACATAGTATATGCCAAAGTTCTTATCAAATGTATATACTTTCTTTGTTTTTTTTGCCCAATTACCTATTTGGATCTTGATTTTTAAACCAGTGCTATGAACTCATTATAATATCAATATTAAGTCCCCATCTGTCCCATTTGCCACAATCTTCTCCATTTTCTTTTTAATAATTTTAGCTATTTTCATTTCTCATCATATAGCAAAATCCTAATCTCTTTTCAACTAATTTAGGTTTCAGAAAATAAATAGACAAATATACTTAAACATTATACTTCTAAACCTTCATTTCTCCATAATAACCTGTGCTTTGACCACAGTTTTCAGACTAATCATAAATATTGCTTCTTATCCTACTTCTTTAGCTAGACGAATTCAATATAGGAAGTTGCTCTTTTCCCAATGGAATCTCAAAGATCTTTCCCCAAGATCTCCAATGCTTTTGCTCATTCATGTAACAAAGTCTTATTAAAAACATACTTTGCATCAGTTCCTATGCTTGGAACTGGGGATATTAGCAGCTTCTAACAGAGCATGAGATATGTGTGTAAACAAGTTCATTAACTCACTGTGAGGAGTAGTGTATTCAAGATTTCCACACTGTCAGGTCGTGGCAGAAAGCAAAGTGTGACTAACTGCAGAAAGATGGATCAAAGACGACTCCCCAGAGAAGGTAACTGAGGTGTGTCCTTATTTTCTAGAAGGATAAAGGCAGCGGAAACAGCGTGTGCAGAAGCCAGTAGGTAGAAACAGCACTGTCCCTTTCAGAGAGGTTTAGGTCCCTTCACTTTAAGGCCAGAGGATCACCTACAAGATGGGGAGAATTGAAAGATGAGGCTTGAGGAAAATAGGGGCCGAGTCATAGACGGCTTCCTGACCAGATCAGCATGTTAGAGAAATCTCTCTGGAAGATAGACTCAGAAAGCCAAGCCTGTAAGAAATAAAAAGACTAGTGCCACAAGGGTGCCAGCGATGCTTCAGAAGGCTAACACTTGTTAAGTATATTCACTTTGTTGTCCTTAATTATCAGACATAAAACACTGCGTTCCCACTGGCTCCGTGGACTGAAAAAGACAGCTTGTGTCTACCCACTGAGCTAGTGTCATTCCAGCTAAAGACCAAGAAAGCCCATCCACTGGCCTCTGTAGACTGGTCCTGAGGCAAACTTCATTAAGCTTCCAAACTATTGAAAATCACGGTGGCATTCTTGCACCTGCAGCCCCCACCCCCACACCTCTCGCTCCAATAACCACCTCAAGGAATCCCAAGATCAACTCCATGATCAAGGTCCTCCAGCTATCATGTGATTAATTTCGGCAGAGTAACCCATCTCCCTAAAGCCGGCTGGATTCTTCTCTTTGATGGAAACCTCTTTAAAACGTGGGCCTGGAATCCATGCCAAAGCATGCACAAATAAACGCACCCCTGGCCCTCTTAAGGCACTGGCAGGGCAGAGGAAGAGGGCGCTGCCCTAGAGTCTGACAGTTCATCTTCGAGGTCAAAGTGTTAACCATGTCTGGCTGAGTTTACCCACACCAAAGAGAATACCTTAGAAACTGCAAATGTCATGAGTTTTGTCATGCTTGGAGAGGCATGCAAAGGGACGCCTGGAGCTCTCACCACCGAGCACAGGCTTGTGCAGCCTGGTGGGAAATCGTCATCCCTGGGAGTTCATGCCAGCAAAAGATAATGGCCATCACCACTCAGCTGACTCTAGAGGTGGATCAAAGGAGGGACCCCTTCCGCTCTGTAAGTCCTCGGTGAAGGAGAGCGGCTGGTAGAGCTCTAGAAGGGGGTATTTGTGATCCCCCTGTTTCTCTTGAGGCAAGCAAATAGTTTGAATACTATTTAGCACACCAGCTAACTGGCCATCTGCGAAGTCTTACAAGAAAGAGCCAACTGTTAAAGTAGTTCATTTCTCTCTTCCAAATTTCAAATATCAAAAAGAGACGGGGGAAAGGATGACTAGAGGTTAAGCTACATCTATCGTAAGTCATTGAATTACATTCATGTCTGAAGGATCAGCGTCCTTCATGGGTTCATCTTGCTGTGTCTTCTGCGTATAAGCTTGGGGGTCCCCAGGTTAGTCTTTTGCTTAACCTAAGACCCTTTTCACTCAGCTCTCCATGTTCAGTGTCAACATGCCCTGCATTTTAGCCTCCACTTCCACTGCTGACCCCAGAATCTGAGCCTGCCCTAGTGACTTCTCCCTGGAGCTTCTCACCCTTAAGTGAGGCACTTGCTGCAGAGACACCTCCACCTGGATGTCACTAGAGGCGTCTTGGGCTGAACAAGCCCAGAACTGAATTTGCTTCCCCGTCTCCATCCCCAGCCTGTGCCTTCTCTGCAACCCTCTTGTCTAAGTTTCTGACCCCATCCAGTTATCCAACAAAGGCTGAATCCTGGACAAATCAACAACTCTTCATTCTTTCTCATCAGCATGAAGTCAATGGCCAAACCCTACTGATCTTACTTCCTAAATCCTTTAAGACCCATTGCTTCCTCTCCACTCCCTGCTGCCCTCCTATCACCCCATTCCCAGAATGTTACTAGAGCAGCTTCCTAACTCATCTTCTGAATCCAAAAGTGCCCCAAAGCAAGGTCCTACCAGTGTGTTCATGCGGTTACAGGTTTTTATAAAACCTGCAAAACAATAAAATGTAACCACAAGAGGCTAAGAGCCTTGTCTCCTTCTGCTCCAGCTTCCTTGTGTCACACGCACCCTCTTCCAATCAGGAGGCTTTAGAGTGACTACAGGCATCTTTGGATTCAACCACAGGTGAGTGGAGGAGGGGGTTTATTTAATTAGGGTATAGAGTGCATATCCATGGTACACTGGCACTGCCAAGAGCGGGTAAATTACCGCCAACTGATTGTTCCCAGCACTCA